ATTAAAATTGCTCAAAATAAATTTTCTGTTGGCATCATTTTTTACAACAAGCTGGCAGCAAGGTGAATTCTCATCAACAGCTCTTACCTCACACAAATTGGCTATTGCCATGCTTTGGCTATTACCATGCTGAATTCTGGATTTGAAGCTAGTATGTTAATAAAAAGATTCAATTTGAATATATTTGGTATCATACGAAAGCATTTAACATTATCTATCTAGTGATGCGTATTGTATGATGACATGTTAATGTTGTGACCCAAAAAGTACCAAAAAAACTTATTTTTATGACTCTTTTGGCTAAATTTTTAAATACTGTTAAATTATTTATGAGAAATATTTAAAAGCTAAATAAGTTTTTATCTGATACTTCCTTGAAAACTGGTGAATTCTCATCAACAGGCCTTGGCTCACACGGATTGGGCTGTTGCCATGCTGAATTTTGGATTTTAGTACGAAATTTGACCAAAAAATGACTATTTTTTTAGTTTTTATCCAAAAATATTATTTTAAAGCTAGTTTGTAACTGAAATATTTAATCGCAATATGTTTGGTATCATGAAAAAGCTATGAAAAATATCCATTGAATGATGTATACATTATATTAATCTTGTGACCAAAATATTACAAAAAAAAAAACCATATTTTTTATGACTTCTGTCAAAATTTAATAATAATGCCACCTGCTAATTTTTCCCAAGAATTGTTTCTACTCGGGGATTTACTCCCCCCCCCCCCAGGCTATTTTCCCTCATATTTTCCGATGCATTTTTCCCCCTAGTTTTCCCTTTACAGTATTTTGTGTTTCCTCTATATCAATTAATTATTGTATAGTCGTTATAAAATTACACTATAAGTGTGACGATGATACAGAATCCAATCAATTGACTAATTAACTCCTGATGTATTTGCAATACAGTACTGATGAAGCCTAAAGACATGTTGATACAACTTTTTAAAAAAACTCTGGGCTTACATACAGTACTATAAGTAATAGAGGAAAGAAAATAGGATATCTTTATAACTTTTGCTCATTTGGAATTTCGATATCACACCTATTTCCTAGTCATTCTATATACCCATATTTGTCTGCATCAACAAAACATACTCCGACAAGAAGTGTTACTATTTCTGTATTTCTACAGTACTTTTGGGGTCAGTGCCCATTAGTGATTCTCTTATGATTATTATGTATACTTTTATTTCAAATTATCTGTTATGCTACCAACGGTTGTTGGTAGCATAACATGCCTAAATAATTTAATATATTTAATTTGTTTAACTATCAGTATTAGCATTATGCTAACTTATGGTTTATAAAATATGCGATTACTAACATTTATTATACACCAAATGCAGTTTCTTATTGTTTTAACATTCTCTTTATATTGTGACAACTAGGGTGTGAATAGAATGTTGATATGTATTCTTTGCTTGAAGTTACAGAATTACAGAATTACCCTAATTGTTGTGTAGCACAACAAAAAGTAGAATTTGAAATTACCAAAAACATTGTAACGAGTTGCTTCATTACTCAAATAATCTTTGGCCCATGAGAGCAACTCAAAAAATATTTTAGCCCTTAATTAAACAAATTAATTCAGAATCAAGAGCCTACAGTATACAGTGTTCACACCGGATTCAGGGAAGACAATGCTGGTTTGATGTGAAGTTTATTGCTCAAAATGTGCCATTTGGAGATGCAATAATAAAATTAAGTGTCCCTTAATAGTTGTTGAATTATGTATTGATTTAACCATTTGGCACACCTAGAAAGTGTCCCCGTCTAATTAATAGAGGTGTCCCCTTAATAGGGGTTGGCCGTAGTGTTTATAGATATAATTACCCTCGTTTCACAAATTAGTGGTGTCCCAAAGTACAGTAGGGGGTTCCACTGTATTACAGTACATTGGCTGTATATTTTATATCTTGGACGATACTTCTATGATAACTCAAGATCTTGGGTCGTGGGAAGCTAGGGCACAAAATTATGGGTCCTAAAAGTAAAAGGTTGGCGACCGTAGCTATATAGCCAAACATTTTCTTTTTTCCCCAAAATGCCTCCACCAGGATATTCATGTTGCCTCCTACTGTCGGTCACGAGGTCATGCACTTTTTCCAGCCCTGTATATTGAATCCATAAAGTATAGCAAATGATTTTAAATTTAACCTCTTCTGCCTAGGCGAGACTTTTGTTATACCTTGTTTCGCGAACTTAATTTTTAAACATCGTCAGAAGAGGTAAAAAAATATAAAAATAAAATGTTGTTTTCTTATTTAGTAAATAGTTTTGCCAAAAACATCGAGACAGAGGAGAAAATATAAATAAAATTTTATTGGTGAATGTAAACAGTGTAGTGATGGGATGGTTAAATACTTTTAAATTTATATAATTAAGAAGAAATATATCTTGTTTTTGGAGATTCCAAGGCAGCGATGGGTGTAATAAAAGTAATGAAAAACTTTTCAGGTGCGTTTTATATATATAATATATATTATATTTTTATTCAAAATCATTGTTAAAAAAAGGTATAAAAAAGTCTTGCCTTACCTACAATATTACCTCAAATGTTTCTTGTTGGTAATGTAATAATATATCAGAAAAAATGCAGGTTCTCAGAAGTGAGAATATAGATTGGTCTACTGATTTCTTGGCTCTCTGTAATCAATCGCTTATAAAAAGGTAGTTGAGCTGTTGCAGAATATTCATTTATCACCTTGTGACAAACTGTGCATTTATCGAAACAGGCGATATATTGATGAGGAAAATATCGTAGAGTATCAGCTATATTCATATGTGCATGTATACAGTAATGTGTCCAGGGGATCATGGGTGTAGGAGTATAACACTCGGCAATATTATTAATCAGTGATATTTGTAGATATCTTTTACAGGTATTCTCTACAGTAGGTAAGTAATTCCAGTTTCCAATTCTAAAAGTATCATCTCTAATAGGCTCTGGTTCATTAGGCCTACTGGCAATTGTTTTTTTTTTAATCTTATAAATTATTGCACATTTGTGACTGTCTTTGGCAAAAGAGAGCAGCTTAGCTCAGTTGGCTAATCTGGTGGTAGCCACTGTGTGTGCGTTGAACTGTGGAGATCTCTAGGTTCCCAGTTCAATTCCCATCGCTGCCTCTCCTTGTCTTTCAGCTAGAGGGCTGAAAAACAAGTTACAATAGCGCACTGTCTTTTGGATGAGACGTTTAAGCCGTTGGTCCTGTGTGCATTTATGGCCCATGTGCACGTTAAAGAACGCAGTACACTCTTCGGAAAAGAGTAGGGGATTGTCTCTCGGTGTACTGTCCAATCACCACCAGAAGGACCCCACTGGAAATAAGTCTTCTTCAGACTTTCGTGGGTTATCCTTGGTGTTTACACCAAATAAATCCATTCCATTCCATTCCAAAACCCGCTATTTGTTGCAATTTTTTATTTTGCACAAGCACCCAAAGCGTTTGAGAATCAGAAAAAATTTTGAGGTTTTTTTGAATTTTATAAAAGAAGATATATTGAAAAACATTTCTGCAAAATATCAATCACTAAATGATTAACTGAAAGGTGTATATAAACTATTGATTTTGGAGTGTTTGGAAGCTGTTTTCTCAAAACATTGCTGATATCCAGTGAATTAAAATATCTATATCTTTACTAATACTCAAAAAGTTCCATCGAGTAAACACTGTTTTAAAGAATTAATTTAATTTTTAATTTTTCTTCAAATGGCTGGATTTGCTAGAGCCGGTCACATTTATTTAGTACTGTCAATCAGTACTTTTGTAGTGTGGCACTTGCCATGTAAGCGAAAGTTCCTGGTTATGGTTGATTAGTTTTTTCCATTCTTGGTCAGATTCTTTCCATCAGTTTATTCATTTCTTTTTCTGGTTTAACATTTTTGAACTCCATGTTCTTGGAACCCTTCCCTCTGTGACAAATATGCAGAGCACGTCCAGGCCAAAATTGGAATGTTGTTATTTTTTTGGTTTTGTATTGGCATAGTCAAGTGTCATACCTACCGGTAGGGTGGAGTGATTACTGAACACTTAAGTTTTAATATTAAATTTATTCAGGTAACTTTTGATTATTATTTGTGGGCCACATTCAGGATTTGTTGTGATGTCACTTTAATGGGACAATTACAGTACATCTATTATAGTGGATCATGTAAAATTACTACTTGCACACGGTTTCTATTCACTAGGCTTTTTTACCAGCTGATTTGTGCGATAACGCCATGGTAGCTTTCTCATCCGTATTGTTTTCACCATTTCTTCTTTTATATGACTATCCCACCATTCCACCAGACAAAAAACTACCGTACATGCTGCATTATGCATGGCCACACCACCTCACTTTATTTCCATAGTCCATGGATTTTATACCCATAGAGTAAACAGTAGGCATAACTATAGTATTATACTCCTCACTGACCAAGGACAAGTATTGTCCGAAAGGTCTGCTTTACTGTCAATTGTGTCTCAACAGGTATCCAGCTATCATAACAGTCTTTGAGATTGTAATTTCATAATATTTGCTTTGGATCAACAAGGTCCCTAATAATACCAATTTGACCATTGAATATATGAAATGCATAGTGTACAATTTGTAACAATTTATTGAAATTTGAATCATGAACTATTTTATTTCATGTATGTATCAATTTTCCAATGCAATCTATTTAATTTTAAATTGTCAAATATGAAATATTCATTTTATAATGAATGTATTGTTTAAATCATCTATAGTACAGTACTGTAGGTATTTTTAATGATTATAGTATGTTTATTGATATAAATAGATAGTATAATCCCTATGAATATTATTTATTCAAATTTATATATGTATATACTTACATAAATTATTTATTTCAATAACCAGCTAGGTTGATATTAATTTGCTGTACTCTGTAGAGATTCATCAAAACATCGATGGGCTGAGCATAGTAAATAAAATAAATAATTGAATATAAATGTAATTAATTTATATTTTCTTTTCTCAGGAAAATGAATTTGAACCTAAACATGGTGCAAAAGCTACACAAGTGTTTGAAATAGGAGCAAAACCAGATGACCTATTCTCTACACTACTCAATGAGGCTTTGAAAATGCTGATAAAAGAATATCGTATCCCACTCCCCATGAGTGTGGAAGAATACAGAATAGCCCAACTTTACATGATTCAGGTATGAACTACTATCAGGGACTACTATAGGCTATTAAAACATATCATCATTTAACCCTCTAGATACCGTCTTCGACTCTAGTCGAAATTGACCTCAAACCGAGGATTCCCATTTTCGACTGCAGTCGAAATTTAGTGACTAAAAAATAGGTGGTTTTCAAATCGCTCTTCTGTTTTTATTTTAGCTCCAATACATCAGAAATTTTGAACATGCATGCGTGAAGCTTTTTTCTTTCGAAATCTGTGAAGAACTCACATGCGCTTGTATAAAAATTTTTAGAAATATCAATTTGAAATCGTTATTAATTTCAAAAATTTTTTCGAAATGGCCGCACAAGATGTGTACACAGCTGAGGAAGCCATTGACCTGATTTATGATTTAGATAGCGATGAAGGCGAGTTTTTAGATGTGCGAGACTTAGACGTGCCTATTAGCGATGATGACGGTGGGGCTTCAAGCAGTTCTGACGGCGGAGATGTTCTTGATGAAGATGAGCCTAGGCCTAGAAATGTGAGGGTGGTCGACGCTTTTGAATGGAAAGATCGTGCTTATAGTTATGGATGGTTGGGTAAATAAATTATGTAACTGTGTGGAATAAGAATGTTTTATATTTTTTTTAATTTTTTTTTGGCTATAATTTTTTTTTTTTTTGGTTTTTGCTGACGATTTTTATGTAACATTTTTCTGTCATTTCTATTATATTATATATATATATATTATATTATATTATTTGGTTTTTGCTGACGATTTTTATGTAGCATTTTTCTGTCATTTCTATTATGTTATATATATTATATTATATTATTTTATGAAAAAAAAATTCCTAAAAATATAAATTATACATCAAGTGAAAGCTTGTTCTATAAGCTTTCTGTGTTTTTGAAACTTTTTTCTGTATAATTTATAGAAAGTTCCAAAAAATCCACCAGAACGACGTATACTCAAAAAACACGAAAAACCTTGTTACACTGCAAAAGAATCAGGTATTCAAGGGTTTGCACTACAAAAGAATCAACCGGTATCCAGAGGGTTAACATTTTACGACTCTTTTATAGCACCTTGCATCCACTGGTATTGAGGTGCTAAATAAATTTGAATATTATTATAATTAATTATTATTGGCCTTTCCTGCACCAACGGAAAAGAATTGTTTTTGTTATGATTTTTTTTTCTTTTTCTATTTTTTTTTTATCCCGTATTTCTATCTTTTTGTACATCTGTTTGATAAATGCTATACTGTTGCATGCTTGCATGCTTTTGTTTGCCCTAGAACGTGGTGAACCAAAAAGGATTATGGATATATGATGTCAGGTGCTGATGATCTATTGCTGCCCATTTTAAGGTCCTCATCAATTAAAACATTTAGTGATTTGACTTTGTTTCCAGGTAAACTTTGGCCTGCAGTTTTGAGTTCTAGATCCAATATGGCCAAAAAAAAAAAAACTGATGGATAAGTATTTGGCATTATTTGTTTTAAGATGATATTGTCTTTAATTGCAATAAACTATGAAGCCACCTCCATCTATTATGCTTTCCATCTGCAGTGGACATTTTTTTCAAGAAGGCTGTCAATAAGCACCTCACATCTAAGCTCACCTCAACACCTTTGCTCTTTTTTCCCCTTTGTAAAACTGTTTGTTTTGTACTTTTTAGTTTTAGGTGACAATAATGGCCACATTTCATCCTTTTGATGACGACAGTTTGTTTATTATTATACTATACTATATTATTGTACTTTTACTTTTTTTGTTAACCGTCCTCTATCTTATGTCCATCAGGTCGTCATTGACTGACTGTGTCAGTTGACACACTGCATATAATATTTTATAGAGACCAGCAAATTCCATGCCCTGTACTTACAGTTTAAAACAAAATATATTACAAGATAAATGTATATATGTATAGAGAAAACAGATTCTAAGTACATCTTTTAAAAATTCACCTAGAGTCTGCTTATCTTATTTTCAGGCCTCAATACCTATTAAGTTTCTCTCATAAAGTATTTTAGAGAGCCCAGCAAATGCCATGCGCCATACTTATAGTTTTAATAAAAATTTATTACAAGATAAATAGTGAAAACTGATTCTAAATGCATCTTTTAAAAATCTACCTAGAGTCTGCTCATCATATATGTGGGTCTCAATACCAGGGATGTCACCACGCTGGTCGGTGGTGGACAGGCCCGTCCAGCACTCGACATTTCCGACCAGGATTTACAGGGTCCCGACCACCACTATTATTTCAACAGTTTACAAATTGTAACAAAATAATTAGTTTACCTAAACACAATAGACAAGCTAAATCGATAGATAAAGACAAGAAGAATACAATAAATGTTTCCATGGTTACGTTAATTGTAACAAAATACTGCACTGCCCTGCTCATCGCTAACTGAACAGCCTAGGCCCAGTTGAGTCATAGCGAACGTCATGGGCGGCATGACACGGTTGCTGTACACATTCAAAGGTTAAAGTTGAAATTGTGACCATTCAAGTCTTTTATTATGAGAGCATGATCCGGGGCAGGAAGATTATTAAAAATTTACGAAACCTGATTTATGTTTTATTTTTTACTTTGTTTTCAATTTGTATTTTAAGTTTTTCACTTTTAGTTATAATTGATATATAATGTGTGTAAATGGACAAAAAATAAATAAATGAGTGCACATGAATCAGTGACATACACATTCATCGTGGTAATCGTCAAACATG